CCCTCCCCCTCCCCCTGTACCTCACCCCTCCCCCTCCCCCTGTACCTCACCCCTCCCCCCTCCCCCTGTACCTCACCCCTTTCCCTGTACCTCCCCCCTCCCCCTCCCCCTGTACCTTACCCTCCCCTGTACCTCACCCCTTTCCCTGTACCTCCCCCCTCCCCCTCCCCCTGTACCTTACCCCTCCCCCTCTCCCTGTACCTCTCCTTTCCCCCCCTCCCCCTGTACCTCACCCCTTTCCCTGTACCTCACCCCTCCCCCTCTCCCTGTACCTCCCCTCTCCCCCTCCCCTGTACCTCCCCCCCCTCCCTCTCCCTGTACCTCCCCCTCCCCCTCCCCCTGTACCTCACCCCTCCCCCTCTCCCTGTACCTCCCCCCTCCCCCTCTCCCTGTACCTCCCCCCTCCCCCCCTGTACCTTACCCCCCCCCTCTCCTGTACCTCACCCCTCCCCCTCTCCCTGTTCCTCGCCCCTCCCCCTCCCCCTGTACCTCTCCCTCCCCCTCCCCCTGTACCTCACCCCCCCCCCCTCTCCCTGTTCCTCGCCCCTCCCCCCCTCCCCCTGTACCTCTCCCCTTCCCCTCCCCCTGTACCTCACCCCTCCCCCTCTCCCTGTACCTCGCCCCTCCCCCTCTCCCTGTACCTCCCCCCTCCCCCTCTCCCTGTACCTCCCCCCTCCCCCTCCCCCTGTACCTTACCCCTCCCCCTCTCCCTGTACCTCACCCCTCCCCTCTCCCTGTTCCTCGCCCCTCCCCCTGTACCTCTCCCCTCCCCCTCCCCCTGTACCTCACCCCTCCCCCTCTCCCGTACCTCGCCCCTCCCCTGTACCTCCCCCCTCACCCTCCCCCTCCCCCTGTACCTCCCCCCTCACCCTCTCTCTTAAGCATCTTAGTCGTCACAGAAAAACCACTGCTAGTAATATTTACAGTCTCATCACACACACACACACACACATGACAAGTGACAAGACGTGTCATGTATATATACCCGGCTACACACCCTAAAACTCTGACTCTGGTAAAAACTGAACAGCCTTCAAGTATCATGAACGTTCGATACCCTCATTAAAAGGTAATAATTACTTTTTGAAAATGAAAACTGGGTAGTGTGTATTACAATAAGGTAATGCACCACTTGCTATCGCTCAGGACTGGAGAACAGTGTTCAGTGTTGTCATACTCAATACTTTGAGAATTATAACATATGGGATATTAATGGCCGAAATACGATGGTATTATAATAATCAAGATTTCCTTTTTGTACACATGACTTGTATAATCATTTCCTCGTTCAGGTTCATTATGAAGAATTATCCAATGTCGCTCAGTATGACGTGTCACTTGTGTGTGTGTCACTTGTGTGTGTGTCACTCACTTGTGTGTGTGTCGAGCTGTAGGTCTTGGACCCCCGCCTTGCTAAAGAATCTATTTTTTTCTCTATTATATCTACTACGTATATTTCTCTCTAACACACACGCACACACACACGCACACACACACACAGGATTAGTTTAATTCTACGACCAGGCAACAAAATTCAGGCAAGAAGAGAGGGGTGGGTAGATTGCATATTTTTGGATTGCTAGAAAGCCTTTGACACAGTGCCACACCACCACCACCACGACGCCCTCACACCTCCACGACGCCCTCTCAGCACCTCTAGCAACTTTAGCCACGTCGCGACCCTGACTGTAAGTCTCCCACGAGATGAGGATTAACTTGTGGATTAGCCTTCAACAACAGCTATTTGCCCCTTAATCACGTATCTTACGACCACGCCGACAACTGAAGCCTTCAGCGACGGGGAGGCACCATCCCCACGCCTTGTACACCACGGCCGACCACACAGGTATTTGGTGAATAAGACTTTAGACTTATTGTGAGTGTTAAACTCAGGATGGGGGGGGGGCTTCTGTATGGTTCTATTCAGGTCTAATAAACCACTTGGTGTTGGGCTTAAGGCCTATCAACCGCGGGAGGGCCGTTGGGAATCGAGAAATCAACCAGATAAGCTGATTTGCAGTGCATTCTGATGCACTGCAAACGGATTTGAACAAACTCCAGAAGTAGTCTGAAAAAATGGCGGCAAGAACTTAACCCAACCAATGCCATGTTATGAAGATTGAAGCAGGAGTGCAATGACCAGTACAACAGTATAGGATGAAGGGAAGACAGAGTCTTCAGTCAGAAAAGGACAAAGACCTGAGAGTGTACACAACACGGTGGCTGACGCCAGAAGCCCACAGCAGCAGAATAACAACAGCTGCACGTGACATACTGACCAACATCCGGGTATCCTTCACACACTTGGACAATGGTTGGACAACAGCCTGGTGGACCAAACTCTCACAAGTCAAGCCTGGCCTCGGGCCGGGCATGGGCAGTAGAAGAACTCCCAGAACCCCATCAACCAAATATCAACCAGGTTTGTAATTTAAGTTAAGAAGGAACGAGTCTTATCCACAGTCTTGCGTAATATTGGGAAGTAAAGGGTTGAATTGTGGCAGACTGTAAAGCAAAATGGCGCCCGGTGACACATTCGGGAAGTTTTGGAGTGCAGCGACCAACCCGTCTTCAGACCCAGTCCATTCCATCCTGTGGTCGACCCCAAAGTCGCATTCATCAATTTTAACATGCTGTTCATTCAAAACAGGAATTTTCTCAAATATAAATTAATATTATTATATATTAGCATGTTGTGAATAGTTAGGCCCTGGTTAGGTTAGGTGATTAGGTTCTGTTGGCGATTATTTGTATTTGTAGTACGTGGGTGAAGCATTTACAGCGTTGTGGTTCGAACACAATTCGTCAGTGACGAAATCAGTTGAGTCGTGTGTAAGCCGTTTCCAGCCCGTCCTCCAAACAAAGACCCAAAAGTGAATCCATTCACCCGTCAAACCCCAGCTGTTTATGAATGAAAAGCAGTTTACACACGACTCACAACTGCTGACGTTCGAACACTTCCGGAACAAGTGCTTCACTGACGAATTTTGTTCGAACCACAACGCTGTAAATGCTTCACCCACGTACTACAAATACAAATAATCGCCAACAGAACCTAAATACCTAAGCTATCCCTATATTTGCACAATATGTTAATATACTATAACATTATAATATTAATTTATATTTGAGAAAATTCCCATTTTGAATGAACAGCATGTAAAAATTTATGACTGCGTCTGTGGTGTCGACCGCTGGATGGAATGGACTTGAGTCGAGGACGAGTTGACCGTTATTCATTTATAAACAGAGGGTTGGCAGGTGCATGGAATGGACTTTGGCCTTTGTTAATGAGGACGGGCTGGCAACGACATGTCTAGAGCTTACGCAACGAAAGAGGTGAGTGGCGGTGGTTCAGGTGTTCAGCCAGAGACGAGCTTTCTGTGACGTCATCGGCGTCACCGAGCCTGCCTGTTACAGACCCGAGTCCATCGTCGGAGTACGGAGCAGTGACGACAACGCCATCTGTGAGTCCGCTCCCGACACCCCCTCCAAATGGACGACGCCATCTAGTGATGACGAGAGACGCCGGCAATACGTGCTGGATTCCTGTCTTAATTGGCTCGTGGAATAGCCGCTGCTGACCTCTGGTGAGGTGGCGCTTAGACAGCAACGCCATCTATAGAGTGAAGAGGTGAACGTTTGTGTCTAAGCTTGTAAGTGAGGTTCCCTAGAGCGTCCCAGTATTAATGACGTATCTGATTGCAGAGTCGACCTGGGACTGCTGTGTTGGACAATGGATCAGTCTACCCAAGGCAGCCAAGGTCTCCTCATCAGTCTGCTTTGAAGAAGCTGTGAGCCATCCCTGGACGAACTCTGTTGAGAGTAATAGCCTGCCTGAGGAGTGGCAGTGTTGGGAATCGCCTTATCCGGGGCTGGCTGGTGGAAGAGACTAGCCACTGTGGTGCTTAGTGAGGAGAGTGACCAGCGAGTCACACGAGGCTCCTGCCTAGGGCTCGCAACCCTAAGTATCGGTCGTGGAGTGGCCTACACAGCGGAGCTGATCGGTACCTGCCAGCTACAGGCTGGATTGTGGTTGAAGGCCTCCACGACGAAGCACCCAGTGGGACTGTGATTTGGCTGGCCTGTGGCCAGGGTAGATTCGTCATAGTCATAGTGGATTCATCGTGGGACACGGAAGAAGGAACCAGGGCTACCCAGAGCATCGTTGAGCATCCAGTGTCTTCGGAGGAAGATGCAACTGTACATAAGTGTAGTAATAATCCCCGCGTGCGACTGTTATTTATTTATATATGGTGGTGGTAAATATATCGGAAAAACTGGAACATTTGTATCCCTCCCCCTTTAGTTTTACTTGCGTTACGGAACACACCCCTTGAAAGCCTCTACTAACTTGGGGCCGGATTCCCAAACTCTACTACCATCAGAGAAGAACCCGGTTGCGTCTCAGTAGGGCCGTAACACTGCCCCAGGGAGCTAGAGCCCGGCTCACTGTTCGGATAGACTTCAGACGGGAAGGTTGTGACCTTGGACGCTCTCGCCAG